GCCCTGGCTCCAGCAGCACAAGGAGCTGGAGCTGCTGCAGCCAGTGCAGAGGAGGCCACGGAGCTGCTGCCAGGGCTGGAGCCCCTCTGCTCTGGAGCCAGCCTGGCACAGCTGGGGCTGCTCAGCTGCACAAGAGAAGGCTCCAGGGACACCTCAGAGCCCCTGCCAGGGCCTCCAGGGGCTCCAGCAGAGCTGCCCAGGGACTGGGGACAAGGCCTGCAGGGACAGCAGCCAGGCAATGGCTCCCACTGCCAGAGGGCAGGCACAGATTTTGGGCTCTTGGCAATTAGGAATTGCTGGCTGGGAGGGTGGGCAGGCCCTGGCCCAGGGTGCCCATAGAAGAAGAACTTCTCATAGAAGTTGCCCCATTCCTCGCAGAGGGGTGGAACTAGATGGTCTTTAAAGTCCCTTTCAACCCAAAGCATTCTAAGATTCTACTAATTTACCATCCCCAGTAAAGAAGCCAAAGCTGGTGCCCTCCTCCAGCTTGTTCAGATGATCCTGCTGCAAAGGAGGCATAAGAAAAATCATAGCAAAGTCTTTTTTGTAGGAGGGTAGCACTAAACCAAACAATTCCCCTGCTCTGTTCCTGCACCTCTTCCCCGTGTCCCTCCCAAGCCAGTGTCCCACAGGCTACTGGGCTGGGGTGTGGGATGGGGTGGGATCAGCAGAGGGATGTTGCTGGGGAGGGGCAGGTATCAGTGGGGAAAGAGGTGGAGGCTCTTGGGTTGCTGCAGAATGCCAGTGAGGTCTTGAAAGCTTTTTATTTGTTCTTTCATTGAGCTTTGATGTAAATGTGCCTGGGGAGCAGCTTTTGGTATTCCCACAGGCAGGTGGACAGGGATGAAGGTTGGACAGACACCTTCATTAGGAAGATAAAGCACAAAAAGAGAGCGCATGGCCTTCAAACCTGCTGCCTGTGTCCTCTGCAGCAATTCCAGTAGATGACAGATTTCCCTAGCTGGCCATACCACAGTCACCTGAGCTTGCTGGTCATCACCTTCTCCAAGAGTTATTTTCCTCAAAAAATCTAAATACGTGTATGCACGTCACACACAAACACAGCTGATCTCTTGGGGACTGGCCCAGAGGGCAGACCATTCCTGAACAGCCCTTCTTTTCCAGAGCTTTTGGCCCTTCTTGTTAGAGCATGTATGTTTATGATTTAAATTGGAGCATGTGTGCATTAGAAGTCCCCTGGGCGTCTCAGGTTCTGCACCAAGCTTCCCACCATGCAAACCACAGAGTGTTTAGCTCCAAAACTGAAAATTAGCCCTATTAGCAATTCTTTCAGTGACCATGGGCTCCTTGTGCTTTGCTTTTCCCACACCCGTTGCTTTCAGAGCCAGCAGCACTGAAACACTGGTTTGTTACCTTCTCCAGCCAGCTGTGAATAAATATCAAGATAAAATCCAGGTGAAAAGGAGACCAAATGTGATTCTGCTGCCCACTGAGAAGTTGCAAACCTGCCTGTGAGAACCATGGCCATCTGAGCATGATGGTGTTTCTGGCCAAAGCAGGAGAAAAACTCATTCCTCTTGTAGACCCACTGCAGAGCAGAGGGTGGTCTCCTGCCTTGAAAGACATTTTCTTTTGGCTCTGTTCAGGGATTTTGACTTCAGAAGGAGTGTGTCTGCTGAAAGATGGAAGAGCTGCATTTCAGATTCACGTTGTCCTCAGTGAGCTGGCTCTGCTGAAGCACTTCCATGGCTGTGCTGCATGACCCACAGTGGGCAGCAGCCTGAGACAAGGGCTGTGTTATCAATATCAAAGCTCTCACCATGCCCTTGGGATTCTATCCCCACCCACTCATCACCTTTGGTCTTCTCCAGCCACTCCGCCCTACTTGCAATTTGCTGATACTTCCTTTTGCATCAGCTCACTGAAAAAAAAAAAAAAAAGTTAACTTTTCTCCCTTCCAAATTTAGCTTTGTTTAGGCACCAAAATAGACAAGAGTAGGGATCAGTGACTGTTTTTTTCCAAAACATTGTCTCACGACGAGGACTGAGGAAGGGAACTGCTCAGCTGGAGAAAGGAGATGTTTGATTTTCATAAACGGGGACACGAAGTTCTCCTTTATTCAAGCACAGTCAGTCTCCAGGAGTGCTCCTTGGATTAGGAACTTATTCCCATGTAATTAATTCATCTCTCATCCCGTTGACGTCAGCTGCTGGTGGGTAGAGGTCTGTGGAAGCACAGGGCTTCTCTGCAAGGAGGACATGCAGGAATGCACCACTGTATGTGTGGTTTCTAGTTGGAAAGAGCAGAAAGGCAGCTCCTAAGGCTTTAATGAGGTCTTCGCTAGAGGAAATTGGTCCTTGTGTGGAGTGGAGATAGTTTCATTTTTCTGAGGTAATTGTATTTGCACATGTGTCTGCAATGCAGCTTAAATTCTTAAAAACACCCCAAGCGTTAGCCTGCTGTGGTAGTACAAAATTTAGAAACAGCCTCACTAATTATTGTACTATTTTTAGCCTCATTTCCTAAACTAGCTGTGCTGATGGGGTTGGACTGTGTGTGTCTCCTCCTTCCCCTCCTTTCCTCATTCAGTTTGGTATCTGTTGGCCAATTTCAAGTAATTTTTTCAAAGGAACAGAGATCTCAGAGATATCGAGCTCCTCCTGTGCCTTCAGTGAAAATAAATGATGGGGAAAGTGAGTGATGAGGAGCACTCAGACCACAGCCCTCAGCAGTGAAGCAGTTTCAGAATGAGCACCCTGGTCTGGTGAGAGGTCTCTGCCAGTGGCAGGTGGGCTGGAACTGGATGATCTTTAAGATTCTTTCCAACCTCAACTATTCTGGGCTTCTGTGATTCTAAGCTATTACAGAATCATGGAATTCTAGGATATTTTGAGTTGGAAGCCACTCACCAGGATCCCCCAGCCCAGCTCCTGCCCTGCACAGACCCCCAGCAATCCCACCCTGAGCATCCCTGGCAGTGCTGCCCAAAGGCTCCTGGGGCTCTGGCAGCCTCGGGGCCGTGCCCATTCCCTGGGGAGCCTGGGCAGTGCCAGCACCCTCTGGGGAAGAGCCTTTCCCTGATTTTCAACCTAACCCTCCCTGGCACAGCTCCAGCTGTCCCTGGGTGCTGTCCCTGTCACGGAGAGCAGAGATTGGAGCTGTGCCTCGGGAGGAGCTGCAGACCCCAGTGAGGTCTGGCCTCAGTCTCCTCTTGAGGCTGAACAAGCACAGTGCCCTCAGACACTTTTTCATGTGGCCCCTCCAGACCCCTCACCATCATTGTAGCTCTCCTTCAGACCTTTTCTAACAGCTTTATATTTTGGCTCAGTGAGTTCCTTATGGCTTGAAGCCTGGAGGAGAGAATGGGAAGGCTCCAGCTGCCGTGGGAGCTGTGGGGTTGCTGCAGCAGCAGTTCCTCCAGGCTTTTTGCTCAGTGCTCAGGATGGATGGTCACAATAAACCCTGTCTGTCCTCAACTTGGTGGTGCCTTCTCTGGTCTAAATTCATCATCCCCAGGAACCTTTCTCCTCCATAACATCTTACCCTGGAGAAACTCAAAATACTATTATCTCAGTAACTGCTACTGAAATAAGCTGCCTTTTCCAAAGGCTCTTCACACAGAGAGGGACTTTTTTCTGAAGTCAGTGTGTTATGTTGTCATGCCAATGTCACAAAGCTGCTGCTGGATGAGGCACATCCCCACCCAGCCCTTGGCCTTGCCCAGGCTGCTCCCTCCTGGCCCCTTGCACGTGGTGATTCCCAGCAGTGGCTGGAGCTCCAGGCTGAGATAGATGGTGATGGAAATAAAAGGAGCAACTTTTACAGGGCTTTTATTGCCAGCTGGGGAAGGACAATACTGCATAAATGAAATTCATTATAGTTATGACAGCTCTGTGGTCCCTGGAAAATAAATAATACTTTGTACTTACGTAGGGCCTTTCATCCAGGAACTTCAGAGCTCTGTGTGAGCATTAACAAAGCCTCATCATGCCCATAGTAGGATAGTAAATACAGCAGCCCCCTTATCAGATGAACAGACCACGTCAGAGTCGGCACCTTCAGTGGAAAGAGGGCACTGGAAAGGCAGCAGCTGGGGTAACACAAAGCTCTGCCACTGCCTTGTCTTGGAATCATAGAATCCTGGATTGGTTTGGGTTGGAAGGGGCTTTAAGGTCATCTCATTCCAACTCCACTGCCATGGGCAGGGACACCTTCTAATAGCCCAGGTGGCTCCAAGCCCCATCCAGCCTGGTCTTGGACACTTCCAGAGATCCAGGGGCAGCCACAGCTGCTCTGGGCACTCTGTGCCAGGGCCTCAGTACCCTCACAGTAAAGACTTCCCCTAATTACTAGAAAAAAAATTCTGCTTCTAATCTCATCTAAATCTGCCCTCCTTCATCTTGGGCTCATGATTTACCATCTTTGTCACCTCAGGTGTTTCCTGCAGGGTGGGTCCCACCTGTCCTTGCTGCAGGGCTGGCATAGGCTGACTCGTTCATGGTGGGCCGCCTCAGTGAGGCTTCTGATGTGGTTGTTCCCTTCCTGCTGGGGTGAGGGCACAGCCCAACAGACCCACCAGCAGTGGCTCCTACTGGTTTCCTCAGGTAGCCTCAAAATGATGCTGAGCATCTTCCTTTACAGACATTTTTTCAGCTGGGTTTTGGATAAATACACAAAGGAAGTAGAGCCCAGGGAAATTGGGTGGCTTAGTGTGTCATGTGTGAGGTGGGTGAATTCCTTGTCCATCGTGTGTATGGGATTTATACAGATGTGATCCAGTCATTTGCCCTCTGTAGTTTCTTCAATACAGAAATTGCAGATAACTTCATTCCCTGCTCCTTGCCACAGCCCTGAGAGGTGCAACACATCTGTGAATTTTCAGACCTGCTTTTGTGGGGTCTGGGATGTTGTAGGGATGTTTGGGGGAGCTGTTTCCTTTACCAGGCTGACATGCTGGGTATCCAGTTCTGTCTCACCCTCACCCCTCCCATGCTGGTGCTTGCTGGAGCTGATGGCTGCTTTTCCCTCTCTTTTACAGGGTTACCATCCGTTGCCTCATGAAGCTGAAATCGCACACACCAAAAAACTGTTCAGAAGGAGGAGAAACGACCGGAGGTAGGTGAAACCTCTTCAGTGTTTGGGGTTTTTAAATCTTTTCTTTGTTGCACATCTTCCTCAACCACCTCGTGGTGAGTCTTTGGACAATGCTGCTGTTCAGCAGTGTTAATACATAAACTCTTATTTCAGCACTAACATCCTGAAAATATTTTGGGATGTGTCCCGCATTGATCCAGGAGTGCCTTAATCACCTTCTCTTCCCCTTGAATTTATTCTGCATAGCCAGATCCCCCCACTTGTACTCAAAGAGACAGCTGGCATTCTGTTGTCTGTAAAAGCTTGAGTCCTTGGGATTTGCTTCCTCTTTTTCTATTAAAAATCAAAATTTGCTGTTTCAGAGCTGCCTGGAAAGTGGGTATGGTTTGGTTCAGAGGGGGTCACAGCCAGCCTCAGGTGTCTGTGGGAAGGAGGGGATGTGCTGTGCAGGCAGCCAAATTCCTGTGTCATTGGTGATTTCAATCCATTGAGTTAATTTAATCGAGTCAACTGGATATTTAATTGTGTAAAATGCATATTCAATTATATGAGGGAATCTTAAGTCCTTGATGGGAATCGTGACTATGGTTAAATGTGAAAAGAAGTGAGGAATAAGGGAGTTAGTTGTACATGCAGCTTTATTTCTGCTGACTTGTTCTGCTCCAGCTGAGATAACTCACCCAGGGCAATAAAGCAGTTCTAAAACCACGACTTTGAAAAATGGTTGAGCAGGAGAAAAAGTGTCCAGTGCTTTCTCCTGGAATAAACTGTAGTCTGTGCCTGAGTTGTCACAGGGGGCATTTTTGGTGAAGTCCTGCAGACACCTTGGAGTGTGTCCTCAAATCTCACCATCACTTCTTGTCTCATGAACAGCTAGGATGTAGTTAACTCTGCATGGTTTGATTTTCCTAAACTTACTGGGGAAAAAAAAAAAGAGCCAAAAAGAGTTTTCTCAGGTAACCTATAAACAATCTTCTGTGGGCAGAATGGTTTGTCAGCAGTAAACTCTGTTTCCTCTCCTTTTGGGGACTCCCTCCTTTTTAGCTGTACACAATTCAAAAAGCAAGTCTAGTCTTGTTATTTGAGGTGGTGGTGGGAAAAGGTTGTATTTCAGCTGGGTTGCAGCCCTGTGATCTCCAAAACATGGTTATAACCAAATCTGCTGTGTTGCAAGACTGAGCTAGGTGGGCTTAACTGGGGCACTGGGCCGGGCTCTTCTGAGGAACCACAGTGGAGTTTAGGGGGTTCTGTTCCCATCTCTGGCCTTCTTCTGCCATAGAAAGAGTGCTTGATGCTTTGGGAGAGGAGACCCTCAGGGCCAAAAGGTCTTCTGCCTGAAGCCCCATGCCCAAGGCTGTGATGAACCACGGAGCTGTGTGTTGGTTCTTCCCTCTCTTCCAAAAATCTTGCCCGTTGGAAGGATGGGAGGGAACATGACAGATGTGGATTTCTGTTCCTTTTTTCTGTCTGGTCCCTTCAGATAAACCATCAGCAGACAGAAGCATTCAGTCCTCCAGGGCATCCCTGCCTCCTGAACAGATGGCAAGGAGAGATAGCAAAAGAAATTGCCTTGGGCTGGGGTTGGAAGATCACAGGGTGAGATACAGCCCTGGCCAATAGCACTGGGATAATGTCCTAGGGTAAGAGAAAAAAGTCTTAAAATCCAATTGATCCAGCCTCATTCCGGAGGACACATGGGGTCATTTCAGCCCTAAGCAGTCACAAATGAAATAAAATGGAAAGAGCAGAGGGTATGCACTTCTGCCCAAGTTGTCCACAGTGCTATCAAATCTTAGCCAGAAAACCACATTTATTTCAATTTCAAAAAGCTGAGAGGCCTGAGTACAGGGAGCTGGAGTGAAAAAGCAGTTTTTTAAGTAATTATTTAAAAGGAAAAGGCATGGTTCCCATCCCCTTCCTTTGCCTCTCCCTCCCCATGACACTTGTTTTGCTGCTGGAGGTTTTCAGCATCCCCTTGTCTCTGTGGTGCATTTGGGTCTAGGAGTGGAGGTTTGGTCCTTTTAGTGTCATTTGAGTTGCTCCAGGAGAGTGCTTGCTCCTTAAAATTGATTTCTGGAAGTGAGTTAGCTCTCAGAATGTTTATTTTATGTGGAAAGCATGACAGAAGTAGGGGAAGAAAAGGGCAGGAATAGGAGGGGGGAAAGGGAATAGGAAAAAAACAGATTTTATCAGAACACAGACTACAAAGCTGTTTACACTTTATTGCAGTGCTATTACCTTAATGTCCCAGGCATCACTCTGGGGCAGAACAGCTCCATTCCAGAGCTGGTGGAGCCACACAGGTGATATAAAAATTCCTCAGGGTGAGGTTTTATGTTAGGCAAAACAGTCAGGAGTAATGGTATTTTTGTTTAAAACCTCATCTGGATATGGAGAGAGTTAAAAGTGCAAGAGTGTGGATGGGACATCAGAGGCAGTGAGGCTTAGAAGAAGCCTAGCAGGGCCATTTGGTGATGGATGGGGTGGGAAGGGGCTGGGAAGCAGCTCTGGATGCCTGGACCCAAGGGAGGAAGGTCTGGTTTCCTAGAAAGGAATTGGTAGCAGCCAAAGATGGAAGTACAGCTGGCATGCAGTGGATTTGCAAGAAGACAAGAGGTTGTCCTGCTAAGTTGCTTAGAAGCAGGTATGGCCCCAGAATCCTGGGCACACCTGGGTCTGCTTTTCATGGGGCAGCTTTTTCTCTTCTCCTGGAGCTGGTGGGTCCTGGAGCAGCACCCTGGGCCCCACAGGTAATGCCTGTATGGTGTGCAGGAGTTCTTCCTGCCCAGCACTTGCCTCACCCAAGGCTGACAAATCCCTGGTGACCATGCTGGGCATCCTCCTGCCAGCTGCAGGAGTCACCCTCACAAGTGGCCATCCAGCTTGGGTCCAAGTGTCAGCCCCCAGTCTGACCTCTGCTCGATGCACAGGTCCAGCTGGCCTTGCCTGGTTGTAGGTGACCTTTGGGCTGCTTGGAGCTCTATATAACACAGCTATTACCAAAAAAAAGCCAATAAAGCAGATTGGTACCCAGAAATCGGTCCTGTTTATCCCAGCTGGTCTTGCAAATGGCACTGATTCCCTCCCAGAGCGTGTGTGGGCTTCTCTGGCCTCCCTGGCAGTGACATTCAGATGGGGACAGTGTTGGGCTAGTGCAGCACCTTTTGTTTCACATGCAGAACAACGCTGGTGTCCGGCCCTGCTATAAATAGCGCCTGTCCCTGCTTCCTTCCCGTCACCTTTCCTCGGGAAATGCTGTCCCTGTGTCGTGGAGGAGCACAGCTCACCTACCCTGAGGTCTCTGCCACACACCTTTGGCTCCCTTCAGGAGAAGCTACCCCAAGGGAGTGACCCACAGCTCTCTCTTTGCATATGTGCTATGTTTTTATGTTCCCAAACCATTTTTTTCCCATTTTTGTGGGTGCCTTATCCTTCAAAGTGTTCAAGGCCAGGTTGGATGAGGCTCTGAGTAACCTGGCCTAGTGGAAGATGTCCCTGCTTCTGGAGCTCAACGGTCTTCAAGGTCCCTTCCAAGCCAGATCATTTTGGGATCCTGTGATTTTCTAAGGATGCATGCTTCATTTGTTGCATAAGATAGGCATGAAGAGTGAATTAGATGTCATTAAAAAAACTGGGCACCTCTTCCATCACAGCAATCAACATCAGAGCCACATCTGCTGGAGGGTTTGGTTGCACACAGTGCTGTAAAAGCCTACAGGAGGTGCTGGGGTCCTTCCTGCAAAGAGCTTATGATCAGAGCTGTGGAGGTATCACTCCCCACCTCTCCTGGCAGAAATCCTGCAGGCAGTGTCCTCTCTGTTGGCTTGGAGCCCAGGAGGTGTGACTGCCACCTCCTGATGAGGGTGGTGGAGGGCATCACTGCTTGCTGGGATCTTAGTTTGACCTTCCAAGGGCAGCCACCTCTAGGGAAGGACAGAGTTTTTCTGGGTGGTGGCACAACCTCTCCTGCAAGAAGAAAGATCCTGTGGAATGTGGGGCACAACAGACCCTTTTCTTAAGTCCTCTCCTCAAACCTCTCCCAGTCCAGTGCCTCCCTGCTAACACAGCACAAGCTGTGTGGGATGTGATCTCCTTGGGCAGGTGGGCTCTGAGTTTGGCCCTTGTTTTTCAAAAAGTTCCCAAACCCCCTATTTTTTAAGCATTACAAGCTGACTTTGTGTTGCTCAAGGTTCCTCCAATTCCCATGGCCTCCTGGTGTGATGTGTTTGGGATGGAGGGTCCAGCTGGCCAAATTCTTTGGCCTGGAAATACATGGAAATACATGGACAGTGGCTTGCCCCAGCCTTGTAGGAATGATAAAAAACATTGCATGTTCAGAAAGGCTTTACAGGGAATATTTGAAGTTGAAATCTATGGAATTGCATTAGGACAGGAGGGGTTGTACCTACTTCTTGGTCTTCTGGTTAATAGTACTGAAATGGTTCTGTGTCACTTGAGGAAGGGAACAGTTTTCCTAACAATGAGGAAAGGGTTTTTGAGGAAGTCTTAAGAAGTTTGCACCATTGAAATTACATTGATCCAACATCTTGTTGGATTCAAAAGACTGATCAGGCTGAGTAGCTTAGCAAAAGCAAATCCTTGGGTGTGCAGAGATGCTGGCTGGTAACTCATGGCTGTTCTGGTCGTCCTTGTCTGGGGGCAAGAATAGAAAAGGATAGCAAAGAGAAGAACAACCCTATGTCGTGGAGAGGATGGAGTAAAAGTCCAAGAGTTAATCAATACCCTTTTCTCAAAAGGCCCCTGAATTCCTTTTTTCAGTAGAAAAAGTGGGAATCTCTTGTGTTTCTTCTGTGCAGCTGATGTATCTTCAGTCTTTGAGGTGACCAAAGCCATGAGGGGCTGCCCTGCCTGTCCCAGCCAGGATTGTTGGGGATCACAGCCAGCCTCAGGTGAAGGACCAACACCTTCAGCTGTGACTGAGCTTTGTTTCATCTCCTCCTTCTCCTGTTGGATGAGATTTTAAGAGGGGTGTTTCTGCACCTGGGGAATCCATCCTACAT